TCATGCTTGTGAGGTTATCTGACGGAGAGACGCAAAGCAGTTTAAAGCAGAGTCCTGCATGGGTCCTGTTTGGTAAACTCGCACCAGCAGTACTTTACAGTACACCCGACCCGTTATCCGACAGCAGCACTAATTTAATTCTGTACCTGACCCGTTTGCCATAAAGACCGCAACACGAATGGCACTCGCATTAAATCTACTACATTAGGTAGGCAAAATTATTTGTTTTCTCATGAAGCCTAACACAAGAAATCAAACCAACTTTAGGCATTCTAAGTTTGTGCTTTGAAGAAAAATAGACAAGCCGTGCAACATGGTAATTAACAGAAACATATATATATATATTAAAATACATATACATACACTACCATTCAAACATTTGTGGTCGGTAAGATTACCAAAAAAAATAAATAAATAAGATTAGAAGTAAAATAGTAATATTGTGAAATGTTATTACAGTTTAAAAGAACTGTTTTCTATTTTGATATTTTTTAAAATCGAATTTATTCCTGTGATCAAACTGAATTTTTTCTTTCAAAAAGGTGTGTACATTAATGAGGAAAAAAAATTAACTTAAATGATTTTAGCAAATGGTTGCAATATAACAAAGAGTGAAAAATTTAAGGGGGTCTGAATACTTTCCGTACCCACTGTATATATATATATACATATACATACAGTATATATATATATAGAGAGAGAGAGAGAGGGAATATTTTTTACTGGAATTTCTGCTTTTTCTCAGACCACATTCAAGTAAAAGACAAAAACATTATCTCATGCTTTCCAAGATGTCTCAAGACATCTGTGAGAAACAAACGACCTTCCTGGATGCCTGTCAAGATCATTAGTACCTGCTCTTTGTCCTGCAATAGAAAGTTCACAAGTGGGTTTGTAAGACGGCCATAGTCTTTGACCCAGCAGGGGAGAAAACACCATCCCAAATACCATTCTGTGTGCATGGTCTCTGATAAGAGCATCATGTCAATGTCTCATCCTCCCAGATACGCAGCACTTCTGGGACTGATCTTAAGGTTACCCAAGCCTGTAATATCCAAGCAACATGCCGACCTACATGAGCTAATAAAAATGTCATCTTGAACTCTTTGTATAATTTATGCTCTACCTCATCTCCATTGTTCTCCTCTGTGAATCAACAACAGATTTATCAATGATCAGGCCTCTCTGGCTCAGAGCTTGTCCTTGGTTAGACTGCATATTTTCAGATGGGTTATGTCAACATTAGTGACCTATAAAAAGCTGCATTCTAAAATGCTGTTCTTGTCTGCCATTCATTTATGCTTTACCATGGATTCACGCACTTGTTTCGTCTTTTGTGTGGCAATAATGTCTTGAACATTACGCTCAGCTTCAGGTGCTTTTCAAAAGCGTTTCCTCTCGCAGGCTGTAAAAGGACATCATTGCCAATAGCTTTATCCACACTTCCTTTGTCTTAGAGTAACAGTTCTGGAAAAGTTTCTGTCACTGCTTATAGGTTTGAGATTATTTTTCCATTTTTATCCTGCAAAGTGTCTTCCATTTTGCTGTTATAGAAATGGCCACCCTACCTAAAATAAAGGAACATGTTTGCCATCATAAAGCTCAGTGATTATTGTTTGCAGCTTTTTCTGTATCTCTCTATGCATGGGTCAGAAATGTGTAGCCGTTCCAAAAGATAAGTCAGTGTCACAAGGTCAAGAAGAGTTTTACTGGATGGCTTGCAAACAAGATTATGAAATGTGTTGTTGTATTTTTGGGGCAGAAGATGACACTGAGATTCCAAGGAACGTTCAGAAGCAACTATGTAGTCATTGCTGTAGGCACCCTAGCAACCGCATAGCAACATGCTAGAATCCACTCAGACCATGACGATTCAGCATGTCACACATTCACAATGACTTGTTGCGTTTCTAAAACAGGTCGAATGGAATGACAAGTATGCAATTGACTTCATGTTCTTAAATATTTCATCCTCTCTTTGCTCATTGTTGGACAGACAGTGTGAATTTTCATATCTTGTTCCTGTTTATTGGTGCATATCAGAGTTTGACACAGACATAATGGGAACGCTGACCCCAGCAGCGCTGCGGATACATCTGTTAATGGCTGGCTGTCTCCGTTTCTGCCGAGCTTGTGATTAATAGCCTCAGTGGTATGTTGATGACAAACAAAAACAGGAACTGTAAACTTTTATCTCTTGCTCTCTTCTCCGATTCCCGTTGAGGAGTTTGCTATATAATTTATGTCGCCATTACATACTTGCCATTCTCAGGGCTTTTTTTGCATCATCATGCTAGAGACTGATATGCAAATGAATAACACACGGTGATAGCATTGTTTATTTGCATGCGTTCTTGGTGTTGTTTTAGCACCAGATCCACTGATGGAATTACGTAAAAGAATGGAAACAATCCCAGATTTTTCCAGATCCCAGTTTGAACACACTGATAACGACCAGAGGCTTGTACATTATCTTGTTTATTTTACAGCTACTTGCCAAATAAGTTAATAAAATCATGAACATGCATTGCTTTTATTATTTTACATGTAGATTAACTTAAAAATCCTCCTAAAAAACAGTCCTTTATAGCAGTAGCCCAAGAAACAAGATGAAGAGTGCAGCAATATATTATTATTATTATTATTATTATTAACTTACAACCTTTTTAATGGACTAGTTTGCTAACTTGTTTGGAAGGAACATCTATGCTATGATGGTACATCTATTTTATTAAAAAAAAATTCCCGCTCTATTTTTCCTCAAAGTTCTCTCTCATCCAGCTTTTTGGTTTATACTTACTATAAAATGAATCCTGAATTTAGTTTTTACTTGCTATTAATACTTAATTTAGTTTAGTAAATTAAGCAGTAACAATCAAGGTCTGTTCATTCTTTATGTAACACTTTGTTTTATACTCGCTATAAAAAAAAATAAACGTGAGGTAAACTGTTAGTTCTCTCTCGTCCAGCTTTTTGTTTTATACTCACAATAAAGTTAATCTTGAATTTTATTTATTATATTTTTTTGGCTTTTGCTTGTCCTCAATATGAGTCATTTATCATTTCATTAAATTTGTATTTTTATTTAAACAGCAAAAAAAAAAAAAAAAAATTTTTTTAAGTGATAATCTGTTAGTTCTCTCTCGTCCAGCTTTTTGTTTAATACTCACAATAAAATTAAGCTTGAATTTTGTTTAGTAACAATTAGTGGCTTTTGCTTGTCCCCAGTGGGTATCAATTATAATTTTATAAAATTTGCACTTTTATTACAATTAAATAATAAAAACAATCGGTAATAATCAAGATCTAAGATAATCTGAATGATAATATGATGTTTTTGATATAAGTATTGTACTGTGAGGTAGCAGACAGTGCCCAGCTAATAATCTTTGAAGTGTTAGAAGTGGTTTAAAAAAAAAATCATTCATGAGTAATTGTGCGTTTGTGGTGTTTTTATATGTTCCAGGAATCCAGAATGTTCTTAGTCTCTTCTGTGCGGTTCTGACAGAGCACAAGTGCTCATTGTTGGACAGACAGTGTGAATTTTCATATCTTGTTCCTGTTTATTGGTGCATATCAGAGTTTGACACAGACATAATGGGAACGCTGACCCCAGCAGCGCTGCGGATACATCTGTTAATGGCTGGCTGTCTCCGTTTCTGCCGAGCTTGTGATTAATAGCCTCAGTGGTATGTTGATGACAAACAAAAACAGGAACTGTAAACTTTTATCTCTTGCTCTCTTCTCCGATTCCCGTTGAGGAGTTTGCTATATAATTTATGTCGCCATTACATACTTGCCATTCTCAGGGCTTTTTTTGCATCATCATGCTAGAGACTGATATGCAAATGAATAACACACGGTGATAGCATTGTTTATTTGCATGCGTTCTTGGTGTTGTTTTAGCACCAGATCCACTGATGGAATTACGTAAAAGAATGGAAACAATCCCAGATTTTTCCAGATCCCAGTTTGAACACACTGATAACGACCAGAGGCTTGTACATTATCTTGTTTATTTTACAGCTACTTGCCAAATAAGTTAATAAAATCATGAACATGCATTGCTTTTATTATTTTACATGTAGATTAACTTAAAAATCCTCCTAAAAAACAGTCCTTTATAGCAGTAGCCCAAGAAACAAGATGAAGAGTGCAGCAATATATTATTATTATTATTATTATTAACTTACAACCTTTTTAATGGACTAGTTTGCTAACTTGTTTGGAAGGAACATCTATGCTATGATGGTACATCTATTTTATAAAAAAAAAATTCCCGCTCTATTTTTCCTCAAAGTTCTCTCTCATCCAGCTTTTTGGTTTATACTTACTATAAAATTAATCCTGAATTTAGTTTTTACTTGCTATTAATACTTAATTTAGTTTAGTAAATTAAGCAGTAACAATCAAGGTCTGTTCATTCTTTATGTAACACTTTGTTTTATACTCGCTATAAAAAAAAATAAACGTGAGGTAAACTGTTAGTTCTCTCTCGTCCAGCTTTTTGTTTTATACTCACAATAAAGTTAATCTTGAATTTTATTTATTATATTTTTTTGGCTTTTGCTTGTCCTCAATATGAGTCATTTATCATTTCATTAAATTTGTATTTTTATTTAAACAGCAAAAAAAAAAAAAAAAATTTTTTTAAGTGATAATCTGTTAGTTCTCTCTCGTCCAGCTTTTTGTTTAATACTCACAATAAAATTAAGCTTGAATTTTGTTTAGTAACAATTAGTGGCTTTTGCTTGTCCCCAGTGGGTATCAATTATAATTTTATAAAATTTGCACTTTTATTACAATTAAATAATAAAAACAATCGGTAATAATCAAGATCTAAGATAATCTGAATGATAATATGATGTTTTTGATATAAGTATTGTACTGTGAGGTAGCAGACAGTGCCCAGCTAATAATCTTTGAAGTGTTAGAAGTGGTTTAAAAAAAAAAATCATTCATGAGTAATTGTGCGTTTGTGGTGTTTTTATATGTTCCAGGAATCCAGAATGTTCTTAGTCTCTTCTGTGCGGTTCTGACAGAGCACAAGGTTTTGTTCCACTCTTCCAGCTATCAGAGACTAGGAGAGGCCTGCCGTGCCTTAGAGTCCCTTATGTTTCCTCTTAAGTACAGGTGGGTCAACAACATTGACTGTTACTGATATACCCTGAATAATTGACCTTCAGTTGCCTTGATAACACCATCTTATTTCATTAGCTACATTATTAGCAAATCTAGTTCAATCGAAGTGCATTGCATAAAAACTAGGACAACTGCTATATCAAATCATGCCCACCAAAAAAAGCTTGAATTAATGTGTCCTCTTCAGAAATGATAAGCGTGTAATTTTGCAAATCGCTCTATTTTTAGTGTCTTTTGCAACAGTATGTACTATTTTTGTGTTCGGTATGTAATAAGAAAAGTCTTGAGATTGCTCGACGTGATGATTGTGGTTGCCTAACTCTCATCTGGACCACAGCTACCCCTACATTCCCGTCCTCCCATCTCGACTGCTGGAGGTGTTGAGCTCGCCTACGCCCTTTATCATCGGAGTGCACTCCATGTTCCAGAGCGAGATCCAAGAGCTGGTGAGCTCAAGGCCTTACAGAAAAACATTTTTCAGTCTGCCTTAAAACAGGTGGTCAGATTCTGGTAACGATGCTCCGTGACTCATTTAGTAATTTCTGATCAGGTTTTGGTTTCTGTTTACAGCTCGATGTGGTCATTGCTGACCTTGACGGAGGAACAATTAAAATACCGGAGTGTATACACCTCTCCCAGCTCCCCGAACCCCTGTTGCACAATACTCAAAAAGCACTGTCCATGGTAAAAAATACACTTTGTTCACACACATTATGGTGTCATGTAATTCGTTTACTGTGCAGCTTGGGTTGCATTTAAGTAGACATAGCATGCATATGTTTTTTTTATTATTATTTTAAACATTTGCAAAAAAAACACCCTAAAAAATGTATATAGTATGTTAAAATACTTTTTAACATTTGAAGAAACCCTTAACCCTGAATATAAAAGCTTTACCTGTCCTACACCACTGTGCTTTGGACCCGTGTTATTCTTAAAGATGTTGAGGAGGGAGCTTTTACTTTTTTAAGATTATACAATATAAGTCTTACGTATTGTTGCTGTCCAATGAAAAACACTCATTTCTGCTTTTGGTAATGTTGACTTTTACCATAGACAGAATGCACTCTGTTTCTACTGTTTGAATTGTGAAATTCCATTAAAAGGGATTTATAATCAGGTTATCTGTATAACTATTATCTCGGTTGGCCTTGAAAAGTGAATGTCTAAACTAGGGTTGTGCCTAGTCATCATGTATCGATGATAGTCAGAGATATCACCTGTGGCTGATGCCTTTGACGATATCAAGATTATTATTATTATTATTAGGCTAGTATTATTTTCTAATTAATATTGGGGCTTAATCGTTTTTACAGTGTTGTGCATTATAACCAATAACACATGATTCTGTTGAGTTTATGAATGCAATGGCCAATCAGAGGCTTTCAGACTAGTCATTGCTGAAACACCGGAGTTTTGTTGAGTGCACACACTTGCTGACTGAATTCTGCTCTCGCGTATTCTCTAATCATAAACAACAAAGTCCAGATGTACAGTACGTGTGACGTAAGTATAAGAGATTTATTCATCATACAGTGTAGACAGCTTCACTCATTATAACGGGAGTGTTATTTAAAAGTGCATAAGCTCGCTCTAGATTGATGTCAGCGATGTTCTTTGATAATGTAAATGTTCTTTGCTCGTTTTCTGTAGCTGCTGTTTGAATAACTGAGGAAATGTTAGCATAATTTAATAACTTGCAATGTTTTTTATTAAATTGTTATAATGTTAAATACAAATTCAGTCATATTAAAAATATTTTATGACATGACATCCATATGCTACTTGACTAAAAAGATATAATGTGTAGATAATAGGCCAACATTAGGCTGCTTTAAGCCTTATCCTGGAGTTGGTTCACTCTCCAGCTTTGAAACTAAACAAGTAAATAATTAAATAAATTAGCATGATAATATTGTGTATTGGCGATCTCACAGGCTGACTATGGAGCATATCGCCCAACACCTGTCTAAATTATGCATGTTCTGGTTTTCTTAGCTGTCTGTAGTTCAGGGGTCTCCAACCTTATTTCATTCGAGAGCTACCTTTTAAAAAAGAAAAGTGACTGAAAGCTACCTGTGTTATACAATACTTAAATCTCTTAAATAATGTATCAGTCCAAACTGTTATACACTGTATTATTAAAATGTGCTGGAAATGTTCAAAAAGTACTGATACAGACAATGAAATAATTTCACGTTTTGTCGAAAACCAAAAATTAGCAGCACTATGCACTTTTTGTCTGCATGAACATTGAAATAAAAACATTAAAAACAATGGCCAGATTTTAACCTAACAAAAAACATTCATAACATGTTATCTACTGACATGTACTACATGTTCAAAAAAAAATTTATAGAATGAAACCCCACATTTCAGCCTTTAATTTAAATTTTTTCTTTTCTTTTCTTTTATGGAAAGGATGAGTCAGAATGTTAAATTATTTTTTATCTGCTCCATAAACTGTTCTACATAAGTTAATATGCATTCTAAAAACCTCAACACTTCGGATGACAAGGTAACCTATGTTCCATCGACCAGTTAAGTTTTACAACAAAAATTTGGTCTGATTTTTGCATTGGTTTGAACAAAAACAGCAGACAGGCTGAATGAAAATGCAACTCTACTGTCTGACAGCAGGTGGTGCTTAAGGAGAAGCAGAAATATAGCTGTTTCCCAGTAACCGGTGTAAACAAAGCTGCGCTGTGCTTATAAACACTGCTCTATTAGACATTACACAGTGGGAAAATGAAAAGCAAATGCCATTGAAACTTTTCTGAAGACAGTCGATTCCCTATTATGCATTCATAGACTTCATTAAATCGCTTCATATAATTTCTCTCAGCAGTCTGCCTTCAGTCGTGTTTTCACACAAAACGAAACCTACTCTGCGTGTTGCATCTGTGTGAGACTCAATTTTGCTCAACGCTGAGCAGTATTTACCATGAGTTTTTCAAATCACGATAATCAAATACGGGTTTAATAATAATTAAAATACTAAACGGGATACCTAAAATAACCTCACGGCTGATATGTCAAAATAAATAATTAATTTGCATTGGAGGTGGTGGGACATCTTTCTATACTAGCTCACTCTGATTGGATGAAAAGTACGTCTTTGCGAGCTACCTCCAATCAGGTCACGAGCTACTGGCAGCTCGTGAGCAACAAGTTGGAGACCCCTGCTGTAGTTTATGCACTGCACCCAGAAAACACATCTCAAACTGATTTTGAGCTAAAATAGTAAGTGAAAGCTCAGATTGTATTGAAAAATAAACTTTCAAACAATCAGTAATTAACAGAAAAAATAGTCATGCGCCATTCTAACCCAAATTTACAGTTGAATTAAAATGTCTAACAGATGTGTAACGATAGAATTCTACTTATGGTGCCAAAAGCGACTAATTATATTGTTTTTGTTAATTTGGTAAGGTTGTTTATGAGGGGGGAAAAGACTTTTCCATGCTCTTGAGGAATTTTTTTGGAGATATGTGTTTTTCTTCTGACACCAATGATGTGAAGATAAGATATGACTCAAGCCAGATCATACATACTTGAGCTCTTTAGATTTGGGCCAATAAACAACCATCTACAAACCATCCTGAACTCTAACAAGCACATAGCAAAGCCCTGGTAACCAACCACAACACCTTAATACCAAGGTGGCCAGGTTCGCAGAGAATTCACCATTCCATTTTATTGAAAATTACTAGCTATTTCCATTTGCTTCCACTAGTGTTGCAGAAAAACGTAATACTTCACTTTTAAATTGTCAAATTTCATAAACTTTCTTTTTCAGTAGCTAATCTGTACTTTCAACATATACATAACCTCTTGTGGTGTTTTTTTACACAGGTTTGAAAGATGATTCTGACTGGAGACATTCCATAAGCTATATTTGCACCATTTGTCTTGTTCCCTCAGATAGCGGGATATTTCCTCACTGTAAATACCTTCTTTGTCTGCAGGTTTTGCACCCAGATCTGGAAGGAGCAGATAATGCCTTCCCACCCCCTCGTTCTGCTCCATCCAACCTCAAACTGCTGGTAAGCCTCGTTTGTCTATTTTCGCTTTTACAATCTCGCAAGGTTGCATATGAATTTTGCTAAATGTGTGGCTGGCATTCATGTGGCCAATATGCAAGTCTCTTATTGGGCCTTCAGGGGGCTGAAATATCTATTCATTAAAGGAGTTTGAACTCCCATCACGTACACAGTTTATTTTGAGGCGAGAAAATTTTCACTCTGACTCATTCCATCCACATACGTTTATCTGGAATGTCTCTCAGTCGTTTCTATTCTGGCTTTCTTGTTTTTGGCAGGATAAGGAGGTGAGGGCTGTCTTCCTGCGCTTGTTTGCACAACTCTTCCAGGGCTACAGGTCCTGTCTGCAGCTCATTCGCATCCATTCCGAACCTGTGATTCACTTTCACAAGGTGAGAGCAGGTCGCTGATCTGCAACTTTATGATGTTAAACCTCATTTGCCGAGTAATTAGGCCCATCAGCTCACAAGCGATTAAAAGCAATTACTGTCATTGTGCCAGATCAGTCCAGTAAACCAGCAAAACACTTCTCAAGTGCATGCATAATGACTGTTCGAGAAGTATCTTCTTGCTAATTATGTCCAGGGTTTTCAGCGAGGGGTCCGAAACAGTTCAGTATGTGTTTGTGGACAGATATACATGATGATACAAATGTTTTATATATTTGAAAGTGTTTTCTCAAGTGTTTTCTTTATTTTTTCAAAAATGCAAATTTACTCACTCTCATGTTTCAAGGCCTCTATGAATTTATTCTGTGGAACACAAAAGGAGAAAAGCATTAGTCTCTCAGTGCATAGGAACCAAGCGCATTCAAGCATATATGGATGGAAAAAACACTATGAAAATGTATCATGAACACAGACCATACAATGTATAAGCTAAATTTCTTGTCTAATGAAGTTGAATGCTATGGCCAAAATTTAAAGCAAGACATTGCATGCAGATCCGTTGTACTGGTCAATTTTAAGATTTTGGGCTATTTTGCTTCAATAACTTGACTTGCTTTAGACAAGTGGAAAGAAAACATCAAAAATACACATTTAAGTCTTTATTTTATGACACTTTATCTATTTGCATCTGTAGATTTGATTTACCATACATACCTTTAAAGATATGTAAAAACCTTTAACAAAATTAACATTTTAAACCTGGCTTTATCCAGTGTTCAGATTTCTTTTCTGGAAAGTGTGCAAATTAATATATAATAATAATACATATTTAATTTGATAATGCCTCATTTGCGTATTGTAACATAAAATTTAATAAAACTTATAATACAAAATAATTGTCTTAATGTACTGTGATTAATCGACTGGGGAAGTGTATTATTATTATTAATTTTTATTTATTTATTTTTTGTTACCCTATTCACATGTAGTGTTTTGATTGATTTAACAGAGTCTAGACGAGTTTTGAGAACCTGATCTACTGATCTACTAAAATATCAAAACAATGATTTGTTTATGAATATCCAAAAACCGTTCACAGTTTAGGTTCCTCAGTGTTTTGGCATCATGTTGACAAAGTTTGGTGTAAATCGTATGGCAGCAATTGGAGGAGTATATAGAAAAATAATTTTAAAGTTTGAAGCGTTGCCATGGCATTCCCAACACTTCATTTAAGATATCAAGAATCCCTTCATAGTTTTACATCGGCTGAGTTTTGATATTATTCTGATGAAATATGAAGCAAATCGAGTAAAAATAAGAGCGTGATTTTGATGGTGATTTTCCTGCTGCCAGTTGGTGGCGCTATAACTTTGACTCATCATAGTCACATCTATGTGATCAGCCTCATACAACGAACAAACTGCTGAAGTTTCATCAAAATCAGTCAATGTATGCTGAAGTTATAACACACTTCCCGTTTGTCATTTTTCACCATAAATTCATCACCTCACCACGGCCAAACCATTCGAAATATTAATTTCCTTCGCAATTTTGCATCCTCAGTGTCTTGAGTTTTTCAAACAATCCACTAGGGGTGTCCCCGACTAAGGATTTTCATAGTTGAATAGGAATTTTTGAATCTTGCCGATATTCAACTGATAGTCGAATCATATATTTGGGGGTGGGGCAAAATAGAAATGACCAAGAGTCAAGTCAGACATTTGACAGTCATAATTACGTTAACACACAGGGAAAATGGGTAACGGACGCCTCGCAGATACAAACGGGGTAAATAATGTTTTATGTTTTGATTAAAAGATAGTTAACATTAAACGTCAGCTAAACATTAAGAATTCACAAAATTTTTTACAATAGTGCTCTCATTATAACGTTATGTATATGACAGTAGTTATTAATGTTCTGCATTTCTGTTTTGAGCTGCGCGCGCTGAAGATGACCAGTAGAATGAAGCATTTGATAGCAGGTTTTTAATCAATGGGATTTAACTCATCATTTATCCATAGTACTACAATGAAGCACTTTAGTGCAGCGCAACTCAACCAAATGCATCCTATACGAGATAAATAATATATACACGATATATATAAACCGGCTGAAATGTTTTGAAATCACTTATACCCTACCTGATCGAAAAAATCCAGTCTTTCACTCTTCCTGTGTCAATTTGAGTCTTGTTAAAGTTTTAAATCCCTGCCGCCAAGATGCTCCTCTGTCGGTGACGGATTATGGAAAGTGAAACTTAAATCTAGGGGTGGTTGGATTTATTCACGCACGTTAAAATATTTATTTGAAGCTTCTTTATTTTCTGATTCTAATTTACAACATTATATTATAGGCTGTATATTAACTTATTGGGAGAAAACCAGTAATTCTATGTGAAATCAGACATTTGAGCACCCCATATAGCCAAAATGGCATGATCATAACACCTCTGCGAATATTCGACTGAGATTGGTGGTCAAATCCGGCTCGTCCTATTAGTGGACGCGTTCTTCACGCAACAACGTGCAGAAACACAGCAACTAAACTCAAAAAATTCACAGCGTTTTATTATAATAGTGTTCTCATTATAATTATGTATGACAGACCCAGTCATAGATATTAATATTCTGCATTGTTGTTTGTCCTGCTCGCGCTGGCGCAGAAGAGATAATCACCATAGTACTACAATGAAGCGCTTTACTGCAGCGCAACAAGCTTCTTTCTTTTCAGATTCTTATTTACAGCATTATTTTAATAGGCTGTATATTAACTTATTGGGAGAAAACCAGTAGTTCTATGTGAAATCAGACATTTGAGCCACCCCCATATAAGCCAAAATGGCATGATCATAACACCCCGCGAATATTCGACTGTGAGATTGGTAGTCAAATCAGGCTCCTCCTATCGAAGCATCGAATCTTCGACTATTCGGGGTCACCCCTACAATCCACAATAGCTGACTTCCTGTTGGGTGGAGCACTGACTGTCAGCACTAAAGTCATTCGGGCTGATGAGATCTATATGTGTATGAATTTTGGTGACTGTAGGTGAAACGGTGTGTGCTACAGAGCTTGTTGAAAATGGCCTTATAAAAGGGCCGGTGACCACCCCATGCGACCTTCTGCATGGCCCTGATTGCCGCAGATTCCAACGTGTGCCAATTTTCAGGAACTTTTGAGCATGTTAAGGGCCCCAAAAAGCCCTGGATATTCAAAAAAAATAAATAAATAGCAAAATCCTTTATGGGCTTGGGCCCGAATAACACACCTGATGTGTATTGTTTGTTCATTTTATTGAATTATAGTTAAAGAATTATATACATTGCCATCTTGCTCTGAGTGATTTGAACACATTTGGCATCATAAATTATTACTACCAAACTTGTAAATATGACGAGTTTAGTAGTTTGTACAAACAATTCTGACTGGTTTGAAATACAGCATTGTTTACCTTAACGTTACCTTAACTCAAGGCAGATTGCACTTGTACAAACACCTGCCTTTTCATAAACACAGTGGGTTTGGGTCTCAGCCAGAGAATGAAAGAATAATCTCAATGAACTCGCTAGATAAGCACTGAGCTTTGCCTCGTCCACGCTTTGCTTTGAAGTGCCTGGGTGCAAACGTAAGCGCTCATGCCGATGGTATCGCGGTTAGTTTGTTTAAAACACTTTGGTCTGTCGGATTGTCCTTGCAATGAGCCATATGAAAAGTATCAAACTTGTATTCGCAAGTGTTATTTCACCCCCCAACCTGTTTTTGTTTGTGTCGGCCGATGTCTCTGTGGCAACGTCTCAATACGACCCTCATAAAGCACCCCACATGGCTCAGATTATGGTACAAGAATGCTTCACATCTCGAAACTGAGCAACTTCTCCTGCCAAATACTCCTTAATTTGCTGGCTAATGCTGCAGGGGATCTGTTTAAAATATACATATGCCCATCTCATTTGATGTATCTGGTGATGCAGATAACAGACGTCTGACTTTGTTTCTTCTGGAAGTTGTTTTGTTTAGAAAAATCTCTGCAACATTTGAATTAAACTTGGCTGCTGGGTTTGAAGTGGAAGTTTAGCAGATGCCATGATTTTTGTTTGATCGTTGACCTTCTTTTCCCTGATAGGCTGCCTTCCTGGGCCAGCGGGGCCTGATAGAAAATGACTTCCTGACCAAGGTGTTGGATGGCATGGCCTTTGCGGGATTCGTGTCTGAACGGGGACCTCCATACAGAGCCTGTGATCTGTTCGATGAGGTGCAGTACATCTTTATCAGAGCCCACTAAGTGACAGGGGTGTAGAATTAATAGATAATTAATGGGCGCTCTCCAAATACGAGGGCTGTTTGTGAAAGTAAGAAACATGATAAAGGTGCCTTTTAAGTTTAATTCAGCCATTTACAGTGAAAAAGGCAATTCCAGAATGCAATGCGAGAAAAATCTGTACAAGATGGTGGAGAAAGCAGGAAAAAAACATCAAAACTGAAAAATAATTCCAAACTACAAGCAGTGACAGAAATTAACTTATCCATTAAGGTACAATATTTGGCCCCTTAAATTGATTTCCAAATTAAATTGATATTTTACCTTTAAAATGGCAACTTTTCTAACCCGTTTAAATGTATGATGTTATACATTTACATTATTATACGTTCATCTCACCTTTTCCGTGTGCATATCCACACTATCCAAAGTGAAGAAGAATCGTGACAATGACAAGAAAGGTAGCCATTTTTGCTTATGTCCCAGCATTTTAGCTCATCATTCTTCCAAAAAGATCAAGTCCTGTTCACATATAAGCACAACCCTTATAAATGGAATGCTACATAAGACTACTTATTACAGATATAGTATACCTTAAAAGAATATACTAATGTGCAAAATGAATGTAATGTTTGTTAATTGTATGCTAATTGCATTTAAATGAAAATGTATTATAGTTTAAATTTATATGAAATTAGTTGAACTAAGAGTATTTTTTGACCCACTAAGGAGGTCTTGGATACTACTTTATATGTAATTTCACAAATATATTGTCTTAGAAATATGATTAAAGTGTACTGCTGAATGTACTGACATACATTTATGCAGTGCTGGGTAGATTAATTGTAGTCCATTGTTGAGTCCAAATTACATGACAAAAAATTGTAGTTAGTAACATAATCCATTACATTACACTTTTTAGGTAATATAATAATTGTTAAATGATGCTATGAGATTGTTTAAAATATTGAATATAGAAACATGAAATGCTTTAAATATGAAACTTAAAAAGCCAGTAAGTGCTGGCAAGTCATTATCTTATCTTAGTGAATCATTGATTTGTTCATTCAACCATTTCGTTCAAAACGGCTTATTCATTCAGGAATGAAGCAAGTGACTGTCTTTATGAGTGGATCATTGAATCATAGACTCAATTCATTCAAAAACACTTCCCAGCATTTTAGCTCATCATTCTTCCAAAAAGATCAAGTCCTGTTCACATATAAGCACAACCCTTATAAATGGAATGCTACATAAGACTACTTATTACAGATATAGTATACCTTAAAAGAATATACTAATGTGCAAAATGAATGTAATGTTTGTTAATTGTATGCTAATTGCATTTAAATGAAAATGTATTATAGTTTAAATTTATATGAAATTAGTTGAACTAAGAGTATTTTTTGACCCACTAAGGAGGTCTTGGATACTACTTTATATGTAATTTCACAAATATATTGTCTTAGAAATATGATTAAAGTGTACTGCTGAATGTACTGACATACATTTATGCAGTGCTGGGTAGATTAATTGTAGTCCATTGTTGAGTCCAAATTACATGACAAAAAATTGTAGTTAGTAACATAATCCATTACATTACACTTTTTAGGTAATATAATAATTGTTAAATGATGCTATGAGATTGTTTAAAATATTGAATATAGAAACATGAAATGCTTTAAATATGAAACTTAAAAAGCCAGTAAGTGCTGGCAAGTCATTATCTTATCTTAGTGAATCATTGATTTGTTCATTCAACCATTTCGTTCAAAACGGTTTATTCATTCAGGAAGGAAGCAAGTGACTGTCTTTATGAGTGGATCATTGAATCATAGACTCAATTCATTCAAAAACACTGAATCATTCAGGAACAAAAAAAAAACACAGTGTTGACTCTGTTTATAGCTATTTTTCCCAAAATATCATATCACGATCTTACACAAAATCACGATCGACGATCTTCCTAATTTTGAGATGTACTATTGAGAATATCCAGAGTGGAACAAGCCTATGACTTAAACAACCAAAATGGATATTAAAGCCTGAGTTAAACTTTAAATCACTGCATCACTGTATGAATCAAATATACATTGTTTCTTATTAAAGTTATAAAGTGATTCATTTAAGAGCAGTGAGTGATTTTCTCTCTTTTGTTGTTTGATTAGCATTAATGACACAGACAGCAGTAGGTTTATTAGGCTGCTGTCTCTTTAAGACTGAATGCACAGATCTAATACACTTGACACACATCCGATTTCTTTCCCAATTGTTTATGTTCACTTAAGACATAACTGACTGTCTTTATGTAAATACTTGCCAAGACAGACATGTTGACATGTTATTGTGTATATTTGACCATTTAACTCCACGTATACTTTGCTTGTTCGTGTTTAGCTCCACCTCAGAAGGCGCCTGGGGAACAGTCTCTCTCGCAGTTAATGCGCTTTTAATAGTTCTCTTTTTAAATTAAAGCATGTCCCACAGTAGACTGCATTTTACGACAGTCACATTGCATGATTGGACTGACTTGGACTTTTAAGTTTAGGAAAGGCGAAAGCACAATGCTTGAAATGATTGGAACAGCTTGCGGCACAAATCGAAACTTTGATTCATCGCAGTACTACTGCTAGCTCACGTTGAGTTGTTTTTTTTTTTTTTAAGTACGTCACCATGCATGAAAGACACATGATAGAGATGCGTGATATAATTTGACCAGCCACAGTCATCTAATGGGCAGTTATTGCTGTAGTTTTAACATTATTATGAGGACATACAAGATCACGATCTCTACGGTTTGCTTGAAAAGTACATCGTAGATGTCTTCAAGATTGATCGCGATATAAAATCGCCAGATCGCCCACCCTTAGGTGAAACAGAACAAAACAGTCAATATTGTGTATAAAATGTATTTCACTAAATAGTGCATGAGTAAGCAAAGTGGGATGCACCAAAAATCCTTAGAGATTCATGTCTCCTCTGATATGATTCATTTCCTCCTCTGATATGATTCATTTCAGTTAGGATGCTGCCTATGTAGGCAGTAGACAGCAAGCAAACTTGCTAGGTGTTAAAACAGAGCCCATTTTTAATGGATGCATTTGTCTCTATAGAATATTTTTGAAAATAAGGATGAATTGTACCAAAAAATTCTGATGGAATCTGAATGAAATTTGTGACCGTTTCGTCATGTACTGTATGGCACGATTCAGTAAACAACTGTAATAAGATCGAATCATTGTTAGAGCAAATATTTACTCTCCTACTAGGTAACATCATTCCACAAGCAGAAGATAATACATGCATGACTCAGTGTAGCTGAGTGAAATTGCAGCGATTGTTCTGGGTAGTGTTAAGGTGGAAAAACTGATTTCTTGTGCTCACTGTAACCACAGATTCATGGGTTCCTACATTAAACTGCTCTGTTTCTGTTCTGTAGCTGGTGGCCTTAGATGTAGACTGCTTTAAGGAGGAAGAAGAGAACCTGGTCAAGTTCCAGAAGCGCTTGAGAGACCTGTCCGAGCAGCTTTACAAAAACGTAAGCACATGACGCCATCTCTAATGTCAGTTCCTTCAGGTGCTTGAACTTCAGTGGCTGCTGTTTGATGCATGTGTTCTCTGACCTTCTGTTTTTGCCAAGACTTCTCCCTTGTCACATTTGATGGATTTTCTTTAAAGGTGAACTCTGCTATTTTTTTCCTTATTAAAAAGTTTTACACTTAAAGACTGAATAGTACTTCTGAGGAATATTTAGTGAATCATGTACACTCACGTGTGAGCGGGTCACCTTTTGGGGGCGACCGTGTTGAGATCACATGACCTATCAAATACTGCTCAGTTTATTCCGGGTGTTGGAAATTTTCACTCACAGTATACAACAGCATGAATGACTGCGAAAAGCACATTTTCACAGTGGAGGTTGTAGTACTCACAGAGTTATGTTCTTGATGAGTGATGGTGAACTTTTTCCAGTTTTTACAAGCTCCAGAAAACATCTCTTAACGCTGAATTTAGACAGTTGTTTTGTCTTGCGTTCTGTAGGAGAGCCCGAACCCCCACATGGCCTTCCAGAAAGTGCCTCGGCCCATTGAGGGCTCACACCTGCGGGTGCATGTGGTGCCCTTTCCCTTGTTGGAGGCGGACAGGGTAGAGGAGTTGATACAGGAGGGCCTGGCCAAGCAGCACTCTGCCCCTATCAGTACCCGTCCAGAGAGGAAGTGTGTGGTGCCCGCCGGACCCCCTGTGGGTGAGTGAAAATAATATTATTACACAACTTTATAGACTATTATTTATACTTACACTATTTTTACACACTACTGGTCAAAAGTTTGCAATGATTAAGATTATTTTTTGTTTTTGAAAGAAGCCTCTTACCTTATAAGATGCTTATAAATAGCATTTATTTGATAAAAAATACAGAAAAACAGTAATTTTGTGAAATATTATTACAAATTAAACTTTTCTGTTTTAATATATTAAAAATCAGAATCAGTCTAATATGCCAATTTAGTGCTCAGTTATTATCAATTATTGGTGCTGAGTAGTTAATAATGGTTCTTATTGTTCTTTTTCCTGTTTAATATTTTTGTGATACATTTTTAAGAATTCTTTGATTAATAGAATGTTCGAAAGAACAGCATTTATTTGAAATTTATTTGAAATAATAATGCATTCCTGCTAAATAAAAGTATTAATTTCTTTTTAAAAGTTATTTTAAATTGTAATAATATTTCACAGTATTACTGTTTTTACAGTTTTTTTTTTGTTTTTGTTTTTTTTTACTGATAAAGGCAGACTTTCAAAAACAGTTTTTCCAAACTTTTGACTGGCAGTGTTAAAAAGATTTTAATTGATTAAATGTATCATTTTTTTAAACATATAAACATTTTATTATCATAATGTCACTTAACAAATGACTTTAATCTTCTCAAAATCAGTAAATAAGTTGTTATAATTATTACCAAATAACAACATGTAAAGAAAATTCACTTATTGACGGTAACATTGGTTAAGTTTAATTTAGGTTAAGACAGAAAAATGTTATAAAATATGGGTTTGGCAAACAAAAAAGGTTGTAAACCTCTGTCAAAGTTTATTCTACATTAATGATCAGCGACTCTACATTATTTTAATGCAGGGTGATTAGGATCCTGGTGTGAAGCAGAACGGCCTTGTATTATCCTGAAGGGGCTATTTGATTATTTTTTTGAAAGGGGTTTATTTCATTAATTACTTATTAACTTACATTGATGTTTTGTTTTTTTTTGTTACACTTTTGACCTGTTATAATAGCAATAAGCCACTTGAGATGGTGTGTAACATTGATTTTTATCACAGTTAAGGGGTTTACAGTATAAACACTCCTCTTTGTGTTGTGCGTAATAATACCGCTTAACTATGGTTAAGTCACTGTAATGCATTGTTATTGGTTCTTGTCTTTTATGCAGTGTCTATCATGGGCAAGCCCAGCTCAGTTTTTAACAGCGCTCGTAGACTGGAGGTGGTCCGGACGTGCATCGGTTTCATCTTCGACAACAAGACTCTGGAGACAGAGAAGGTGATGCAATAATTTCTGTGATGACAGAAGGATTAAACCCACACATTCACTTGCACATCTGGAAAAAGACAGCATGCATTAGTGATGGCATTCGCAGCACGATAAGCAAAGCTTTACAGCTGCAAGTCATACAAACGTAGGAGGAAAGGGGTGAACAAACAGTCACGCATATTCTTCTAATTTCCCTGCCCTTATCACTAATACTAATATTATTCTAACATTAACCATATCTGGTGTTTGTCTAAAGCATCTTAACATTTTTTTAGGCTAAATAACTTTGTGCAAATTACCTGTAGCAAAGGAAATCTGCTCACAGAGGATGTTTGGAGCCTGCCATCATTTGTGTGTTTGCGTTGGAATGGTAGCCAGCTACCTGCACACATTTGAGTTTAAATTGTAGGTTATACAATGCAAGCTTGCATCCCTATACAGTTGTAAAAATGTTGTGCTTGCAGCTTAATAGCTTCTCTGAGCCAGTAAAGACATCACCTCCACACAACCTCTACTCCATCGGCCCGAGTAAACCTGAGCAGAGGGTGCCGCCTCCGTCTAGACGTAAAATCTCATCAATAACAACCGTTCTGGAATTTTAACTGTGGGTCAGAGGTCAACTGGCTGGATTTAGCTGGAGCGATTGTGCCCTTTGCATGCATGTATACAAGCGAACCGCTTCTGCATCCAGATGAGGGCAGCCCAGTCTGGCTTAGGTGGATGTGAGCACTTGTTTTAGTAATGTCTTGACACTGCTGTTTCTTTCAGGCACTCCCTGCGGCTCTTCGGGCCCTGAAAGGCAAAGCAGCACGCCAGTGCCTGACCGTAGAGCTCAGCCACCGCGTGCAGCAGAACCGTGCTATTCTGGACCACCAGCAGTTTGATCATATCGTTCGCATGATGAACTGCGCTCTACAGGTGGGCATCAGTATTACCAGAATTTATTACCACAGCGATATATATATATGTATCGTATATTTGCAAAATACTGATTATTTTCAAACTGTAGTATTTAGGAGAAAACACTGTATCATCATAAAAAAATGCACAATTTAAATTTTAATTACATAAAAATACTTATTACACTTAAATGTATTTAAAATAAATTTTTGTTTTAATTTTGAAAAAATATATATTTATTATTATATTTATTATTTAAAAATATTTAGATGCATTATATATATATATATATATATATATATATACACACACACACACACACACATTTATTTGTTGTATATGCACAGGAAACAGTGCTTTAAACATACTAAAAGAGTTGCAGTTTAACATGTCAAGCACTGTATAGTTATTGTGCAGGTTAGTGGGGGATGAAGAAGGTTTTTTCTTTGTGTCGTGGAAAGAGTCTCTTAAATGTATATTAAGGGGAAACCACAAATTGCCATTTAGGGGAAATCTGCCGCTCTTTGTTCTCCCTTTAAAATACTGCCGATGGGACGTCCTGATAGGATCTGTGACGTAAAGTAAGTTATTAATTACATGCAAAGCTTGGAGTCTTTTTAGAAAGGTAAAAGCAGATTTAGTGTTAAACAAACGTCTCTGACAAGGCAAATAGAAATGAACCTTTTAGTTTCAAAGTTCCAGATTTTTTCAGCCAGCACTGAGCCTGCATTCAGCCAGCATGACTTATTGCACTACTGATTTATTACACTATATGATATAATACTGTTTTAATTCAGAAAAGTATTATTTAATGTCACAATTTGGTACAGCTTACTGATCCATAAGTCTAGTGCTTCCTGTAAGAGGGATGTTTGATGTATATTAAGTTGTTTAGGTTTTGCGTAACTGTGTCTGTCTTGTCATAGCACTTCATGACTTATTTTGTGTTAGTCCATCACATTCCTTTACAAACGGTCATATTGCTATTAATCTCAGAGCAGAGTAGTGTCCCATTGGTAGTTCCTTGTGTTTTACAACTTCACGTCGGTGTGGTTGGGGGGATTTTAATGATGCTGTGCAGTTTAAACAGCTAGCAACTTTTATAGAGTCACTGGACATTCCGAACATACTTTTGTCAAAATAATACAGACCAGCTTGGGCCGTGGATGTCAACATGCCCTGCTCGGCTGCAGAGGCTCTTTAAAGAAAAATCTACATTTAATGCAGATGAAATGGTTTCATATAGTTGTGTCATCTGATAGCTAAGCTGTATGCAGGTCTGTAATGTGTTGTTTTCCATTGGGAGATGAGAGACATATGTGGAGCAGCTTTCAAAAGATGAAATGCACGTGCTATCAGTTATCAGAGTCTGTTAATCAAGATGAGAGACAGAAACAAGCCCCAGCAAGAGTGATTTCATGTAGATCTCCAGAGACTGTGTCAAGGACAAAGATTTTTTGACACAGAAAGGCAACAAAATGGCATGGAACAGGGATGAAGATGACAAGCTATATGAAGAGCATATGGAGAGTCCACTTTTATTTTTTTAAACCTAACAGAAAAAAATTTGCGCTGACCTAAATATACCAATAGCAATAAATACAGTTTTTAAAATACAGTTTTAATATATATATATATATATATATATATATATTAAAACTGTATTTTTTTTACAGCTTTTGTCAAAGACAAAAAAGGGTTTAAGCATAAAAACAATGTGTA